ATACAGAACAGTAGGATATAAAACTCCATTTCATTTCATTAGTCCAATAAGATACAGAACAGTAGGATATAAAACTCTATTTCATTTCATTAGACCAATAAGATACAGAACAGTAGGATATAAAACTCCATTTCATTTCATTAGTCCAATAAGATACAGAACAGTAGGATATAAAACTCTATTTCATTTCATTAGTCCAATAAGATACAGAACAGTAGAATATAAAACTCTATTTCATTTCATTAGTCCAATAAGGTACAGAACAGTAGGATATAAAACTCTATTTCATTTCATTAGTCCAATAAGATACAGAACAGTTCATTTCATTAGTCCAATAAGATACAGAACAGTAGGATATAAAACTCTATTTCATTTCATTAGTCCAATAAGATACAGAACAGTAAGATATAAAACTATATTTCATTTCATTAGTCCAATAAGATACAGAACAGTAGGATATAAAAATATGTTTCATTTCATTAGTTCAATAAGATACAGAACAGTAGGATATAAAACTACTATTTCATTTCATTAGTCCAATAAGATACAGAACAGTAAGATATAAAACTCTATTTCATTTCATTAGTCCAATAAGATACAGAACAGTAAGATATAAAACTATATTTCATTTCATTAGTCCAATAAGATACAGAACAGTAGGATATAAAACTCTATTTCATTTCATTAGTCCAATAAGATACAGAACAGTAGGATATAAAACTCTATTTCATTTCATTAGTCCAATAAGATACAGAACAGTAGGATATAAAACTCTATTTCATTTCATTAGTCCAATAAGATACAGAACAGTAGGATATAAAACTGAAGTTTATTTCGTTCTAGAATCTCTGCCAATATTAGTACAAGTGATAGAAAGGGAAGAATCCAAATCACCAGAGAACGTCAACGCTACAGAGAACTGTATTTCTGCCGTGACCAAGATTTGTAAATATAACTCTAGTAAAGTCAACTTAAATGATATAATTCCACGATTCGTGACATGGCTGCCAGTCTACGAAGACGAAGATGAGGCTGTTCATATTTTTGGCTATCTTTGTGATTTGATTGACATGTGAGTACTTAACACACCTCTTCTCAAACATTTGTGACTGGAATTGCTTCGAGAGTTTGTCACTTCTGTTCCAGGGGCTCATTGATTTGTTTTTTTTTTTTTATTTTCTTAACGAACAACCTTGGAGCCTTAATGCTGTGTGAGTTAGTGAGTTAGACTGTAACAAAGTGCTAAAAAGTAGAACATTCAATTTCAGGAACCACCCTGAACTTCTGTTCCAGGGGCTCTATTTTCTTAACGAATACCCTTGGGGCCTTTATGCTGTGGTGGTTCAGTGAGTTTTAGACGCTTAATTCATTACTGTAACAAATTGCTAAAAAGTAGAACATTCAATTTCAGGAACCACCCTGCAGTACTGGGTGCAAATAATAGTAATCTACCAAAAATCATCTGGTCTATAGCAGAAGTGATGCAGAAAGAAACGTTCGCTACAGATGCTGATATTTACGTAAGGCTTGTTAATATTGTCAAACAAGTTCAGGTTAGTAAATTAGGTCAAATGTCTTAATACACATTCGAGGACATAATATATACATAATGGGATTGTAAAGAGGATACTTAAAATGTCCTCAAGGCATCGTATCCCGAATACGGGAGATGGTTTTTTATTAACCTAAGCCAACTACACTGAGATTTCCTCTAAAGATTTCAGGTTCAATTTTGATTGGACAATATTTATCTACGAATGTGTAATTTCTCTCACTTGTGTTACCACGTCCACAAGGAATCAAGATGAATGGTGGCGTAGTTTGAACACGATGTCCTCAAGGGATTCTAAAGAGATTTTCTTTACTTTTATGTGTATCTTGCACAGCTTACAGCTTTGATTTGTCTAAGACGTCTGTGATTCCTGCAATTCCACTAAGCATATTGTGACTTCACTATTAAACAGCTGATCATAGAAGTCACTGAAGTCAATAATTGTCTTCTGAACTTAGCCAATTGTTTTGTTTGTTTTTCTTTTGTAGACAAATGAGTCTGTTTTTGGTGCGTGCTTGCAAGAGCTGACACCAGTGCTTCGAGAAGCGTTAATGGAGGGCCTGAAACACTGAATTTGAGACATTAGAATTTTATGTGACAGACTTGAAATGTGTATTTTAGAAAATCGGCCAATGAAGACTATTTAACCATTTCTTTATGGAACTCTCTAGAACTTTTGAGTGCAACGCGACAATGGAGAATTGAAAACTTTATCTTGCACACTCTTCAAAGATTTTTTGGCTCTTGATTGCTCTTGAATTTGACCATTCTTTGTAGAATTTTTGTGTGCAACGCTATAATGGAGAATGCATGACTCCATCTTGTGCTCTCTTTTGTGCTCTCTTTTGAAGGATTTTTTGGCTTTCAATTTTTTTGTTAAAAGGATTAGAATTTTTATAAGCAATTCAAAGCTATCTTTAAAGCAGTGTTTATCTTTGACAATCTGTTTTTGCCTCAAGATTTTATTTAATATACCACCCTTGTATGGAAATAGACTATTCCAATCCTGAATTCATTACAACAGAATGCTTTATAAAATGTTTGTGCAGAAGAATCTAATTTGACAGAAAAGGAGTGTTCAGCAATAGTAATAACCAATTTTTTTTCTGTGAGTTTTGAATACTGCTGAACTGTATGAAGTGAATTTATTTCATGTCTTTAAAGGTACAGGTGCGCCATTTTTGGGGGTTGATTTAAGTCTTGAATATATGGAAATAGTCTACAGAAGTACTAGAATGTACGAAAATCGCATAATTCCTTCAAAAATATCTCAAACTAGGAATTTCTTTTCCTATGCCTATAAATGTCTTTTCTATATATGGCAGTTTCTCAAAAAAGAGACGATTCGTCTTTTTAACTTTCAAAGGTGGATAATTCTGGACACGCATGGATTTGAAGGCTCAAAGTTTGACAGCAAGCTGATTAGCTTAGCTAAAAAAATTCCCGTTTCTGAGACTAAAGTATGATTGGTCAAATAGCACATCTGTCCCTTTAAGTCGTGTATGGTAAAACTATGCCAGATTTTTTTACGAATAATTTATCTAGCTTAATTCAATTTTAAAAAACAATATTTTCTTGTGGCATATTTAAGGTATTTTTTCTTTAGAAATCATGACTATTCTGAATTTCAATTTTTTGAAAATTTAAGAATTAGAAATTTTGTTATTAATTGCTATGAAATTTTGTATTTTTGATGAAACCAACTTTCATAGTACAAACACTCTTTTGGGGCAAAATTTCTTTCTTTACTCTGCCTTAGATGGTATGAAAAACAATGTTGAGGACAGGGGGGATTAGGAAAGGAGCAACTCTGGCAGAACTTTTAAATTTCTTTCCTCTTAAGCCTGTTAAGGTGTGGGCACACGAACGATCTAGGTGGGAATCTTTTGTTGCCAACTAAAGTCTTGCCAAGAGATTTAACTACACATGGGCACACGAGGAGCCAAAAATCTCCAGTCTGTCGTTTTCCACCATGTCATTAATCACATGCAGATTATGCACTTGAAATGAAAATGAATCTGATTGGATGATGTTGGTCTGTCTTGCAGACAATAAAATAATTGGAGACATATAAAACCTGTCGGGATGCGAGACAATCCTGTCATGGAAGCACGGGGACACACAAGATTTTACTCAAGACTTTCAGACCTCTTGTGTGCCGGTACCTTTAGCTTCACCACAGATATTATCAAATTGTTAGTAAGATAACTTTTTCAAGGGAATAAAATTAAAATTTAAATTTTTTTATCAGATTCTCTGGAGTTTCGAAATAGAGAATATTTTTTTTTCTGCTTATTTTTTGTTGACTATGCTACAAATCTGTAAAATAAATCTGTTTTCGTTTGTAGTTATTGTTTATTTTCAAATTTCCCATCCCAACGAATGTTCCTGGAGCATTCTGAACTTTGAATTTACTGATATTCAATAGCTTCTTTTTCAAAGAAAACTAAACCAAAGAAAAAAATGAAATGAATGGAGTTTTACATCCTACTTTTCTGCACCATGTGGACTTATGAAGACGAGCAACGCCATGCAGGGTACAATGAGGGAAATTTTTGCCAGGACAGCGGCATTAGCCTGCTCTTTTTCAATTTCCAACTTTAACGTGCACAGCCTGTAGCACACAGGGCCTCGGTTTATTGTCCCATCTGCTTTTTGCTTGGCTTACATGTGTTAAAGATCAGTCAACAGTTGGAATTAAAAAAAAGTAGGATAACACTACTATCCTGGTAAAATTTCCTTCATTGCACACAGGTATATGTATTGCCCTGGGAGACCAAACAATAGGTGAAAAGTGATTGACCAATCAGATGGAGGTTCCCTATTAAGAAATATAAGAAAAAGTAGAATATGTCCTTTTTCTAACATAAAAAAAAATGAAATACACGTAACTAGATGCGTCTTATAGAAGGTGCGCATTGGACTCGGAAATCTACAGTATACGATCTTAATCAAGAGTTAATTCCCTTGACCTATTTGCTCTTACGCGGTACCAATGAGACTGAATGCGTGTCACTGGAATCAAAACTTTTTCCAACTTCTCCTTGAATGCTAAACTGAAAAGTATTTGCTGGATAGCCTTAACCCTTTACAATTCAAGCAGTTACGTGTACAAAGAGGTTAAGATGAACTTTGTCACTTTTTGTAAAACAATGTAACGATTTTGACCTAAATGATAACAATCGATATCAAACGACGAATAACCTTTTGCAAGGTAATGCATTTATTTTTTTGCTATTTCATTCCCTAAACTTTGCTTTTTCCTGCATTCTTTGCCAAATCAACTTAACTAATGTGTGAATCTGCAAGTTCGTCGTTGCAAAAACAAGACGCAATTGCAAATCAGAAAGTCGAAGAAAGCCTTCATGGATCATAACTTATAATAATACGCAATACGCTACAATAATTCATAATGTACAAGAGGTGAAAAGTTGTCCAACTACTATGAAGTGTCACCCGGACAAATACTGCCGTTTTAACTCACTTAGGGTTCGTATGAAATTTAGTTTATAGGAAAATGATGATTATTTTCTGTGATTTGAACTTGGTTGCATATTACAGGGCTGGACTTGCTGGATTGCAAAATCATAGGGGAGAGTTGGCACACAAGGCGTGATATGCAAAGCATGCGTTATCATATAGGGGAGATTTGGGGCACATGGACTGTAATAAATGTGGGATATGAAAATGACCTAAATTTATAAATTTTGAGAGTGATACTTTGAAGTTTAACATGCAGAGCATGCAAAATTAGATAGGGGAGATTTGGGCCACATGTACTCTACCAAATGTGGGATTTGCAAAATTTTTATTTTATTTTTTATTTATTTGCAGGAAACCAAAGATGGGTTTGTGTAGTTTTCAAAACTTCGTGATATTTTGGTCAGCCATTTTTCTTGGATTGGCCTACTTCCTGTACACGCCAGTACCTCATGGATTTTCTGAGCCGTGGAAATTACGGACGGTTCTGGCCGGTTTCAAGACTGTCAACCTTATTGTAAGTTGATAAGGGCTACAGTCTGGGGTCTCAGAATTGTCAAAGGGGGGCTCCTCAGCAATTCTTTGACAATGTATAATAATTAGAAATTAAAGAGTGTTGGGGCCAAAACTGGACCTTGCTCTCTTTTCTAGGGAGTTTGGGGTATGGGGTAACAAACGCTCCCTGGCCCCAAAGTAAAAACGAAGGCTCAGTGAGTTCGACACTCACTCTCTGAAAATCGAAAAAGAGCAGATTAATGTCTATAACTTTGCAAAATTCATTAGCCTAATCAAAATAACTTCATTTAATATCATTTTATTAAAAATTACCTGCTACTTTCAGGGTTGTGTGGGTGAGTTCTGACCCTTAGTGCAGATGGAATTTTCAATGAATAAAGTATTAATTTTGTGCGTACTATTTTCAGGGTGGTGTAAGTGAGTTACTAGGCTATGATAGTGGCATCAATATGACTCGAAAATTCTTAAACATCGCCTACGCCAGGCAACCAGATGATCCTGCATTGGAGGTGAGTTGATAAACAATTTGAATCTTTGGAGGCTGTGACTATTTGTAGATAGGCTACTGTCGCAAACAATGAGTGGGGCATTTGTTATTGGCTGCAGCTCAAGGCACTATGATCGATTGTACTGGCATTGTTCAGATTAGTCGGTAGATGACAAGTTAACGTTCGCTTCCAGCGGATGCTGATATCGCAAACTAGGTAGTTGTTGGTAGTCGTAGTAGTTGGTAGTTGGATTGGTTCAAATTGGATGATTCGGTGTTGTTGGTTTGGTTGTTGATTCTTCGTTAGATCTGGTCAGATTAGTAAACTTACAAAACTATTGATACTGCAGAAACCCAAACCTGGTTAGGCTAACCCTATTATATATTGGATTGTTGTCTGCTAGGCGATGGGGCCATGGGTTGGAATCCTCTTCAAGGTTAGAAAAATTCTGATGCATAGGCTTTGAGTGTCGGCCCGGTGTCGGCTCTCACCCCCTAATACCTATTACTGCCTAGAACAATTTGGTTTTCTCTGTTTTGTCTCCATTGCAATCTAACAACATTTTTTGTTATAGGGAGTGCAGGCCTTGTGTAGGCTATCACTTTCCAATTTGTTAATTTTTTTTTACTATCTTTCCAGGTTTGGGATGCAACATTTGATGGTGTACCAGTTAGAATTTATAAACCAATCAAAATTCAGACACCTGCTCCTGCTATGGTGTTTCTACACGGAGGGGGGTGGGTCTTATTTAGTATAGGTAAGGAGAATTTGTGGGCGTTTTTTACTTTACGTGATAACACCCACCACCATCATTGGTTTTGTGCTTCATGTTGACCCAAGTTTTCTCTTTATTTCATCCACTGTTAATTGGTGAGCTGGTCCAGGGTTAAATTCTGGCATAAGGAGAGATATACCCAGTGGTTGCGCCAGCCTTCTGAGACTGGGGGTACAAATAAGGGGCAGACTGACTCAATGGGGGGACAACTGTTGAGGCTGAATTCAAATTTTGATTACTCTGTGGTGGTGTCATGGTGGCAAGCCTCTCATAGAGTGTCTTAGAGGGCTCTCAAGAAAATTTTAGAAATGGTCAATATGAGTATATATTCATCAGTTAGCATACCTGGTGTCATAAAGTTACAACAGAATCCCTGTAAAATTCATAAACTAAGACGTAGTATCACTTTAATGTTTATCGTGTTTTCTATTTCAGATGAATATGATTTGACCACAAGACTAATCGCTAAACAAGCTGAGATCATTGTAGTCTCTGTTAAGTATGTTATTTTAACTCTCAATTGATTATATTGTTAGATATATTTGAATGAGGGGTTGTAGCTCAATCGGTTAGGGTTGTAATTCAATCTATCAGAGTGTTGAAAACTTTATATGATATCGTTTGCACGGTTGCATGAAATTAAGTCTGTTGTCATGGTTTTTTTCAGCTATCGGCTGGCACCAGAATATCCATTCCCGATTCCGTTTGACGACTGTGTGACAGCGACAACACATTTGTTACAAAATGGCGCCAAATATGGAGTAGACCCCAAACGAGTTGCAGTTGCAGGTAATGTCTAAAAATTCCTTTCTTGCAAAGTTATTTTTGAATAGGTTTTCATTTGGATGGGTCTGACATGGAAAAAGTGTCCAGCTGTTCTGATGGGACACTAAACCGAGACCCTTACTGCTGTTCCGACTAAATTTCCATCATTACGCACTGCATACAGCCTTTCCGATCTTCATTAGCTCAATCAAGTTCAGAAAACTAATACATAAAACTCCATTCATACCATTTTTCATTTGCATTTCATCTTGCATTTCATTTCATTCTTCATTTGCATTTCGTTTTGCTTTTCATTTCATTCTTTATTTGCATTTCATTCTTTATTTGCATTTCATTCTTTATTTGCATTTCATTCTTTATTTGCATTTCATTCTTTATTTGTATTTCATTCTTCATTTGCATTTCATTCTTTATTTGCATTTCATTCTTTATTTGCATTTCATTCTTTATTTGTATTTCATTCTTCATTTGCATTTCATTCTTTATTTGTATTTCATTTCCCCCCCCCCAACGGCTTTGCTTTCTGCTTACAGGAGATTCCGCTGGTGGAAATTTGGCGGCAGCCGTGGCTCAAAGACTCTCTTATGAACCAGAATCATTTTTACCAAAATTAAAATTACAGCTTCTAATATACCCTTGTCTACAGGCATCTGATTTTAATTTACCATCATTTTTACAAAATGGAGGATTTGGTGGAATGCTGTCAAAGGCTTCAATGGTTCAGTATTGGATGTTATACATGGGATTGAAAAACCTCACGGAAAATTCTGCATATTTCCAAAACAATTTACATACGTCTCCGTTTTTAAGACATTCCGAATATTCAGAATACATCAGTTTAAAACTGTTGCCACAGCAACTACAGGATCGGGCAAAAAAATTTGAATACAAGGATGAAGACATTAATATCGAACTTGCCTCCAAAATTGAAGATCTGCTGATAAATCCGTATTTTGCTCCGTTAATGGCAGCAAATTTGAGCAACGTGGCCTCAGCATATATCGTGAATGCAGAGTTCGATGTTTTACGCGATGAAGGACTTATATACGGTCAAAGGTTAAAGCAGGCAGGGGTCAAAGTTCACATGCATAATGTGCGACAAGCATTTCATGGATCGTTTTCCCCCGTGCCTCCGGTTTCGTATCTCCATTATGAACTCTTAACCAAAACTTATAATGAAATTTGTCTTTATTTGAAAAAAAAATTATAATAACGAAATAAAATATTTTCACTGTATTTTAAATAATTGTGTATTTTGATATTAATTTGTTAAGATATTCCTGGAATTCAAAATTCATGGAAATACCTGTATTTTACATATTCATGTATTTTAAATATTCATGTATTTTAAATATTTATGTATTTTACATATTCATGTATTTTAAATATTCATGTATTTTAAATATTTATGTATTTTACATATTCATGTATTTTAAATATTCATGTATTTTAAATATTTGTGTATTTAGATATTTGTGTATTTAAATATTCATGTTTTTACATATTCATGTATTTTAAATATTCATGTATTTTAAATATTCATGTATTTTAAATATTCATGTATTTTAAATATTTGTGTATTTAAATATTCATGATTTTAGATATTCATGTATTTTAAATATTCACGTATTTCAAATATTTGTGTATTTAAATATTCATGTTTTTAGATATTCATGTATTTTAAATATTCACGTATTTCAAATATTCACATATTTTAAATATTCACGTATTTTAAATATTTGTGTATTTGAATACGCCTTAACAAATTAACCCTTGAACTTGAATAAGTTATCTTCAGTCATAATTCCAGTCAACCCAGCTGGGTACTGATAATCTGGAAAGATCAATGCCAAGAGATTTGGCCAAGGACCAGCTGATGGACAAGATTCAGGATTCTTAACCTGTGAACCAAAGTTATTATCCTTGTAATATATAGTAGTTTCTATAACTGAAAGTGTATGACGTTAATGTTTTGTAATTTGGTAACAAGCGGCTCAGGTATATCGATATATCACATGAATATATGGCCAATAGGGCCTCTGCTAGTATTAAAAGGGTTAAGAAAGAACAACACAAAATGTATTTTAATTATGTAAAATCTGTGCCAAAGTTATTATCTTATAACTGGGTAATTTTTACGGATTGAAAATTAATTTGATTTTTGTGTTCTTTATCTTTAAATGTTTTTAACAAATCTCTATATTTAAAAAAAAAAACAAAAATTTTGACTGCCATATTGAGTCCTTTTTTAAATCATCATTTAGTTTTCATTTTAAATTGAAGAAATATATTCTTAAAGCAACTTTACAAGTTATATTTTTAATGCAAGGTAAATTGGATTTGGTATGAAATATAGAAGAATAGAAAGGTTGGGGAGGGGGGGATGGATCTGTGCAGTCTGCATTTAAATATCCCTTGATAGTTGAAATTGTCAAAGGATCAGACTTATGTGCTAAATTTCACTCATTGCACACTGCTATACAATAGTTCATTATTAAACAAGTCAGGAGCAGAAAGGCACCTATATACATGTGCTCGATTTATTCTGGAGGAAATTGATCTCAATGTTGTTAAATTTTCTCCACTGCACACTACACACAATGGCTCATCTTCATAAGGCAAATAAGGAGCAGAAAGTTCGATAGGGCCTAGAATTGATTTCCTATCAATATTTCAAATAATTTTTCAGGGGACAGTGCCGGAGGGAACTTGGCTGCAGCCGTTTCAACGAAGTTAAGAGATGAACATCATAAGCCTGGAATAAGACTACAGATTCTTGTGTATCCAGTCCTTCAAGGATGCGACTGGTATTTGCCTAGTTACCAAACGGGGGCCATCTTGTTTAATCGTGATGATAAAGCAAAATTTGTGCGAGCTTATGTAAATTTTAGCAAAGATTTTTTTCCATTTATTGGAACTGAAAGATATTATTCCAAAACTGTTCGGGAAAAATGTAAAAAATTTGTAGATTTCCATTTGCTGCCGAATGAATTTATCCCAAAAGATTACAAACAAACGGAATTATTTTCCAAAGACAAATTACCAAAAACTTTGGAAAAAGATTTTCAAAAGGCTCAAAAGTTTTTGTCAAATCCTTACATTTTTCCATTGATGTTGGAAAACTTAAAGGGGTTACCTCCGACTTTTATTTTATCAGTGGAGTACGACACTTTAAGAGATGAAAATATCATTTTTGTGTCGCGGCTCCAATCGGCAGGAGTTGATGTAGTTAGGAAACATTTTGACCAATGTATCCATGGATGTTTCAATTTGCGGAATTCCTCCTTTGATTTTTCCGATGGGAAACGAATGATCCAAACTATCGTTGATTATTTAAAAGAAAAATTGTAATTTTGAAAAGAATTTTATTTTTGAAAATTGTATGTTTTTTTTTAACAGAAAATAATTTTTGTTTTTTTTGAATAAAATTGTTTTTTAAAAGAAAAACATAAAAGATATTTTGTTTGTTCAAAAATCAAATAAAATTTAATGGGGTCATAAAAATGTTATAGTTATACATCCTAATTTTCTGCTTTAGATGGAGTTAATGAAGACAGACAACACCATGCAGTGTGCAATGAGGGAAATTTTGCCAGCACATTGGTCATTAGCCTACTCTCTAAATGTTAAAATGAAATGAATGGAGTTTTACATCCTACTTTTCTGCATCTCATTGGGCTCATGCATATGGAAAACATGCAGTGTGCTATGAGGGAAATTTTGCCAGGACAAAGTCCTACTTTCCAACTGTTGAAGAATCTTTCACATTCACAGCCTGCAGCACCCGTGGCCTTGGATTAATCATTTAGCAAATTGAAAAACAGATGGAGAAAATGAATTTGAAATAAAATCTAGGTGCAGATGCCTAACTTGAAATTTCAAAGCTGTAGTAAAACTACGTACAATGGTATAACACAATGATGACTGAATGTGACATCAACTCATAATCCTTTATTTAATCCGTATTAAAAGAATGTTCGGTATTTTCCGGTAATTTCCGTTGGGTGCGGTCGGCAATAAACAAGAATAGCAGAAACCAACGCTTCTTTTAGGATTTTAACGCACAAACGAGTTTAGGTAAGTTTTGCAGTTGAATTTTAACTTCATTTTAATGCATCGTAAGTATTTAGACCTTTTGGTGAAATTCTGAGGCGGAAATTTTGCAAGACATGGCGATGCATTAGAAATCTTGGTCGGCATCAACAAAGTATCAAATTTCAAGAAAGTTCCACATTGTTGGCTTTTCGCACCGGTAAAGGTGCGGCTTTTCAAAAATTTGGGTTCAAGTAGTAAATTTTGAATCTTAGTTTTGAGTTGAAGTTGATGTTAGGGTTTCAAATGAAATGTTCGAAGTATTTGAATCATATTTTAGGAATTTTGATGATACATATTTTGAGTTTTTGTGTGGGTAATATTTTACCTACATACTTTTGGCTATTATTGTACGGATTGACTTCAAGATTATGGACAGCTTTTAGCATTTATTTAAAGGGATTGTAAAGAGGTGTTTTAAACATTTGATGTGTATCAGGGACTCTCAAAGCTTATATTTTCATCATTTCAATTTTCAGTCAGATGTCTGTGGCTCTGACAACAACATCACTAGGAATATTTACCGGATTTTGTGATAGTGACATCATAAAATGCTTAGTTTAAGTAGACTTGCAGACGTCAAACTGAAAATTGGAAAGGTGCAAATCAAAGCTATCAGTGTCCCCAGTACACATAAAAAGTTAAACAATGTCTTAAAGGAAAATTTGAAAGAGCTATAAGCTTATAAGTATTACACCTAACATTCTGCACAAAAATATTTTCCAATTTGTCTGGTGATAAGGTTTTGAGCTGGGCAAAACTGCACCCCATTAATTGAAAAAAATTTTAATTTCTTGGGATTGATCGGGTAAAATTTGCTTCTTCATGTGAAGCTATTTGAATAAAGTGAACCACAGTATTGGCAATGTGGCGTGGTTTATACAATGATTGATTGATGTTAAAGTTTTTAATAAAACTGTCGGTCTTTTCGACTTCTCCATTGGTCATGTCCGGCATGTAAAGCCAAATCAGCTGCCCTGGTTTTTATTCATTCAATTACTCAGGGTAAAAGAAAATAAAAGTCATTCATTTCTCGCAGGGTTTGGCCTGAAACAAGGTCAATTGAGTTGAGTAAAGATTAATGAATATTTTAGTAGGCGTGTAATCTTGAATAACTTGACAAGTCTTTTTGAGTTTTTAATTACGTTGATCCAATTTGACCCTGCCCTTAGGCTCTTGAGTTAATTTGGTTGTATCATTATAAATACATTATCTATTTTCACTATGTGCACATATACTCTGTTAAAGGGATTGTAAAAAGGTTTTCTAAATTTTTATGTGTATAAGGGACACTGATAACATCAATTTGCACCATTCCAATTTTTAATTACATGTCTGTGGTTCCTGCAATTCCACTAAAACTAAGTGTTTAATGATGTCACTAATCGACAATTTGCTCACACAAGGATTTTGTGATTGGAATGGTTCAAATTGATGCTATCAGTATCCCCCATACACATAATTTTTTTTAGAAAACCTCTTTACAATCCCTTTAAAGTTCAAAGCTAAAAATTTGACGGATTTGTTAACTCTACACTCTGGATATTCAGTTTGTTTTCTTCACTTAAATAATAGCCATTAAAGTTAGAAAATTGTGGTTAAATAGATGTCAATAGATTGTGTATAAAAGTCAAGAAAAAGGTCAAGGTATTAAACACATAACTAACATTATACCGAGTTGTGCCACACCTGTGTTTTTACCTGTTGATGACATTATAACATACAGGTGATACATGTGATACATCTACTGTGATTGTCTTTGTCTGAGTTGTTTGGGCCTTTGAAGGTAAGCTTAGACAATGCCTTGTAGTGTGCAATGAGGATAGTTTTACTAAACAATGGCATAGCCTGTAGCACAATTAGGTCTCTATTTATTGTCAGATTTGAATGTCTAAATACTGGTACTTTATCATGTAATCAGTGGTGCTGCAGAATTTAGGATTGGGAGAGACCACTGCAACATTGGTTTTTTTAATCCATTCTAGTTAGGGTCAGGGTCAATTAACTGTCTTAAAGGGACATTTTTGAGTCTTGAAAATTTTTAAATAGTCTTCAGAAGTACTAGAAATATATGAAAATCGCAAATTTCCTTCAAAAATATCTCAAACGAGGAATATCTTTGCTATTTCTATAGATGTCTTTTCTATATATAGCTCAAGAAAACTTGTCTTTTTAACTTTCAAACACGGACAATTCTGACACACATGGATTTCAAGGGTTAAATATCGATGGTAAGCTGTGAACACTATTACTAATAGACTAAGCTTAAAAATTCACGTTTTGGAGACTAAGGTACAATTTGTCAGAAAACTGGAGCCTCAGCCCCTTTACTACTTTCCATCAATGATTAACAGTTCTGGCCTATGATAATAAAAATATTGAAGTGTTATTGGACCAAGCTGGAAGAAAGTATAAAAGTGTTAAGAAAAATAAAATAAAATGAATATTGATTAATTATGTTTCAGTTGAATGATTTTTACCAGCTGTCTCTCAGGGTCACATATTTTCTTTGATGTATAAATCTTAATATTCAGTTTTAAACAAAGGTGGTTATAACAAAAACCATCATATCCACCAACACCAAACGTAAATCTCCCAAATTTTGCCTTTTAAAGTGATAGAATGCACTGATTAACTTGTTAAGTTTTGAAATATTTTCAAATTTATCATGTCAAAGAAACAAAAAAATACCCCTTGATTTAACTAAAGCCTTGCTACTCAAAAAATGCAGAAATCGCATTCAAATGGGCGTTCTGGTGAGAGGGGCTGACATGGAAGAAGGCCTAGTTTGGATGGGATAATATACCAGCCCCTGTGTACTACAGACTGTGCATGATAAAGACCTCTCTACAGTTGTTGTCCTTGCAAAATTTCACTCATTGGACACTGCATGGTGTTATTTGTTCTGACTAGGTCAGGATAGTAGAAAGTGAATCTGCTGATTTTAGCCATTTTTATCTTTCCAGACATAAAAGACCAAAATGTTGAAGCATATTTTTGGAAAGGTGACGAAATACAAGAACCAGGATTATGACACCTTAAAAAAAGAAAGTAAAGAAAAACAGACCTTGTTTATTGATAATGAATTCCCTCCTGATGATAGATCCCTGTTTTATACCCCCAATAAAATACCTGGGGTAGTGTGGAAACGCCCAAAGGTAGGTTCATTCATTCATTCATATGTTTGTTCACTCAATTATTCATTCATTCATTCTTCAAGAATTAATGTATCCTTGAAACAAAGGGATTGTAACCAAGATTGGTTCATTCATTTGATCATCATTGGAGAATATAGGCTTATCCTTTCATCCATTCATTGACTTCATTCATTTATTTATTTATGCATTCCTTATTACTTCAATAATTTATGTATCTTTGATACAAAGTATTTTTAAACAAGCTTAAGGTTATCCATTCATTTATTCATTCATTCATTCATTTATTCATTCATTCATTCATTCATTCATTTATGAATCAATGGACATGTAGGGAGATGTTCTATGTTATTCATTCATTCATTCATTCATTCATTCATTCATTCATTCATGATAAGAATATGAGAGATGGCATGTATGTTTGTATTCATTCATTTATTCAATAAGCAATGGATTCTTAGGAAAATGAATGGGTGTTTATATTCATTCATTCATTCATTCATTCATTCTATTAGCCACCAAAAGGTCCTAGATGTTATAAGGTCTATAAGCAAAGACTTTGTACTCTCCAAGATATGATAGATTATCAATGTTCATATAAATGTCATATAGCCTAGTATTTTTCTAGTAAAAAATGTTAGTTATCTCAACTTGCTGACCCTGTAGACTGATTAACGTACTGGTATAACTTGTTTTGTCACTTTAATACACTAGTTAGTACTTGTACCTCATAAAACACTACTGTTATAGTCATTATCAAAATAACAAAAGGTATGCCAGTTGTGTGGACTCTCTGAAAATATCCGTCATTGCACAACGCAGAACTTTGCCCGTTCTCATTAGTCTAAAAGGATGCAAAGTAGGATGTAAAACTCCATTTCATTTCATAAAGCACTACTAACATCTAGATATTAATTCTAGTTCTCCCTGTCAGGGATGCAGTTTGAAGCAGCTGACATGGATAGAGCGTTTAGCCGTTGGGAAATAAACCGAGGCCTCGTGTGCTGCAGACTGTGTATGTTAAGGATCCCTTGAAATGAAATGAATGGAGTTTTACGTCCTACTTTTCTGCATCTTGTTGGCTAATGAAGACGGACAACGCCATGCAGGGTACCATGAGGGAAATTTTGCCAGGACAGCGGCATTAGCCTGCTCTTTTTTGATTTCCAACTGTCGATGGATCATTAACGTGCACAGCCTGTAGCACACGGGGCCTGGGTTTATTGTCCCATGTCAGCCCCTCTTACCTGCATCACTGACAGGAGGAAACCGGGTAAGGATCCCTTGACAGTTGTGTAATTGAAAGATAGCAGGCAAATGCCTGTATCCTGGCAAAATTTCCCTCATTGTACAATGCATAGTTTTGACTGTCTTCATTAGCCCACATGATGCATAAAAGTAGGATGTAAAATTCATTTCACTTTTGAGTTGGGTCACTATGATTTATTTTTCAATGCTGGGTCAAATATGGTGGAGATTTGTGGCAAATAGTTGAAATTTTAAAATATTTGATATTTGTGGTTTCTACAATAAAAAAATGGTATTAAACCACCATGTGTTACAGTGTTTAAAAATCAATGGTACGATTGTTGTTTTGATAAATATAGAAAGTGAGAGTCAGCATATTTCCAGCTAATGGTTGATGAATTATTGAGCATAATAAAATAAGAAACATGAGAGAAATTTGAACATGATAGAAAATGAACATGATAGAAGTTGAACAAGATAAAAGTTTGAATATAAGAAATTTGAACATGATAGAAGTTGAACATGATAGAAGTTTGAACAAGATAAATATTTGAACATAGGAAATTTGAACATAGGAAATTTGAACATGATAGAAGTTGAACATGATAAAAGTTTGAATATAGGAAATTTGAACATGATAGAAGTTGAACATGATAGAAGTTTGAACATGATAGAAGTTAAAAATGATATAGTTTGAACTTAAGAAATTTGAACATGATAGAAATTTGAACATGATAAAGTTTGAACTTAGGAAATTTGAACATGATAGAAGGTTGAACATGATAAAACTTTGAACATATGATATTTGAACAAGATCTCCAGACAGTTTCAAATTAGTGAATTGATACAAAGCTTTTGACAAATTTCCCTTATTGTCTACAGCATAGAGTTGCATGTAAACTATTAGATACATCGAAGTAGGTTAGTTCATTGTTAACTCTCAATGAAATTATTCAAAATATCACTCATAACTGGCCTGTAAAGAATGTCATTGATTGGTTCATGAATATTCAACAGATAGAATTATAAATAGTATTCAATAGCCGCGACAAGTTAGATATGAATTTAACGACAATGAGGTCACTGTGACCTAGTTATGAGACAAGCTAGATAATATAATAGAGAGAAACATTAAGAAATGCGTAATAAAAACAGGTCAAAAGAAATGAGTGGGAAAATTCAAGGTTAAAAGAACTGCGTAATAAGCAGTTTGATTTGAAAAGAAATTTAGCTAAGTGTACTTCTGAAATTCTTTATAAAGAATAATTTACATTAAAAGTAAGCTTACTTGATTAGAAAAGATATTCATCTCAGTGTTCTGTCAAATTCAACATGTAAAACATATGAATCTCCTTGAAACTGGATATGTATTGGGGACATTGATAGCATCAATTTACACCAATCCAATTTTCAATCAGATGTCTATGGTTCTTGCAATTCCACTAAAACTAAGTGTTTGATGATGTCACTATCTCAACATCTACTAATAGTATAAAAAAAAGCCTTTGCGATAGTGACATCATAATCCTTAAATCGTGATAAAAATCATATCGTAGCACAATTGGCAATGTCCAGCTCTGTTTGATTATACCAATTCCTCTTAGAAAGATAAAACTTCTGATCAGGGATCATGATTTGCCCGTACATGCCGTACATGACCGACTGTCCTGCCAAAATGTCAGACTTTCTGATACTGCAATCTCTTTTTTTAAACTTTAGATACAGGATACTCATGTGTTTACTTTATTAATGTTTTTTCAGCAAATCTGTGAGAATCCAAAGTTATTTGTAGAGGGAGCTAGCTCTGGTGATGTGTCACAAGGTCGTCTTGGTAACTGTTGGTTTGTGGCTGCTAGCTCTTGTTTGGCTCAAGAGAAAGAAATCTGGCACAAGGTAACCATAGAAACCACTTTATTCCATATTTGCAGCTTTTCAGCTTAATTTTGGTTGTCAGTGGTCAAGATATGTGATTTGGGTGGGGCAATTAATTGAGGCCTTGCTCACTAAAGGCTGTGCATATTAAATATCCCTAAACTGTCAGAAATATTAACATTTCCCTTATTGTACACTCTATAGTGGTGTGTAAAGGTTACATTTTGTTCTGTTACCTAGGTGATTCCTGATTCCAAAGAACAAGAATGGGATGACCAGAAACCAGAAGAATATCAAGGAATTTTTAAATTTCAATTCTGGAGATTTGGAGAATGGACGGAGATTGTGATCGATGATTTCTTGCCGACCGTCAATGACGAATTAATTTTTATACATTCTCAGAGTAAGAATGAATTCTGGAGTGCCTTGTTAGAGAAAGCATATGCCAAGTAAGTACTAGCCTAGATATATCAGTGCTGTAGTTTGCCAAGTAAGTACTAGCCTAGATATATCAGTGCTGTAGTTTGCCAAGTAAGTACTTGCCTAGATATATCAGTGCTGTAGTTTGCCAAGTAAGTACTAGCCTAGATATATCAGTGCTGTAGTTTGCCAAGTAAGTACTAGCCTAGATATATCAGTACTGTAGTTTGCCAAGTAAGTACTAGCCTAGATATATCAGTGCTGTAGTTTGCCAAGTAAGTACTAGCCTAGATATATCAGTGCTGTAGTTTGCCAAGTAGGTACTAGCCTAGATATATCAGTGCTGTAGTTTGCCAAGTAAGTACTAGCCTAGATATATCAGTGCTGTAGTTTGCCAAGTAGGTACTAGCCTAGATATATCAGTGCTGTAGTTTGCCAAGTAAGTACTAGCCTAGATATATCTGTGCTGTAGTTTGCCAAGTAGGTACTAGCCTAGATATATCAGTGCTGTAGTTTGCCAAGTAAGTACTAGCCTAGATATATCAGTGCTGTAGTTTGCCAAGTAAGTACTAGCCTAGATATATCAGTGCTGTAGTTTGCCAAGTAGGTACTAGCCTAGATATATCAGTGTTGTAGTTTGCCAAGTAAGTACTAGCCTAGATATATCAGTACTGTAGTTTGCCAAGTAAGTACTAGCCTAGATATATCAGTGCTGTAGTTTGCCAAGTAGGTACTAGCCGAGATATATCAGTGCTGTAGTTTGCCAAGTAAGTACTAGCCTAGATATATCAGTGCTGTAGTTTGCCAAGTAAGTACTAGCCTAGATATATCAGTGCTGTAGTTTGCCAAGTAAGTACTAGCCTAGATATATCAGTGCTGTAGTTTGCCAAGTAGGTACTAGCCTAGATATATCAGTGCTGTAGTTTGCCAAGTAAGTACTAGCCTAGATATATCAGTCCTGTAGTTTGCCAAGTAAGTACTAGCCTAGATATATCAGTGCTGTAGTTTGCCAAGTAAGTACTAGCCTAGATATATCAGTGCTGTTGTTTTTCTTGTGAGATCTTGTTGGTGTGCTCTTGATTTTGGCGCCTCAAAAGTATTTCCTATGTCTTAGTAAATGTATCTGCATAGTTGAGGATAGCAAGGAGCTAAAAATGAAGAATTTACTACCCCTTTTGTAATGATATCGAAAAAAACTTGATAGAGCTCTTATTTTACTGCTCCTGCAAGAGGTGTCAGAAAAGTTGTCACAGGGATAACTGGCTCGTGGCAGCCAGCGTTCTAATGCATGCTTTTTAGTACGTGAGGAATGTTGGTCTGGGATTGAAAGGAACATGAACTGGGTTAGTTTTAACCCTGAAGAGCATGGCTTTCCTTTCCAGATAAACTTTCAAAGGTCTCTTAATTTGATTTTGTTTTGTCAGGTTATTTGGTTGTTATGAAGTATTGGATGGTGGAGAGTTAGCTGAAGCCTTAGAAGATTTTACTGGTGGAGTGTCAGACACTATCGATATGATCAAAGCCAACGTAGCCACACATGCTGAAGAGAGAGTAGCGCTATTTGCCAGAATGCAGAAAGACATGGACAGACGATCTTTAATGGCTGCCTCTATTCCAGTGAGTTATCTCCCTTGCATTGTCTGTCTTAGTAGCCTTATCAATGGTATTATTCTTTATAAACAAACAAACTACCAGTTTCAAACCTGCTAGCGCCTAATTCCCTGAAATCCACTAACAGCATTGAATAATCCAAGGTAATATTATTCCTTATAATGGCTTTCACATTCCAAGCGTTTCAAACCTTATAGCGCCTCATTACATTATTCTCATTTTCCAGGCTACGTCTCAAGATGAAATGGAAGCCTCCACATCCTCAGGGTTGGTCAAAGGTCACGCCTATGGTATCACAGCCGTTAAAAATGTCCACCTAGAAGGGTCTGGGTTGTTTGGTTTGTTTAATCGAGATAAACTGCCGATGGTCAGGCTCCGAAATCCCTGGGGGCAGGGAGAATGGAAAGGTGCCTTCAGTGATGGGTAAGTAGATGCTTGTTTAAAATTCACAAATTTCGTGTGTGTTCATAGGCCCTAATATGAAGTTTACCTGCTGCAATGAAACATGGTAAAAATATGAAAAATTTGATTTTCTTTTCTATTTCAGTTCTGAAGAATGGAATAAGATCAGCAAGTCTGACCGAGAAAAAGTTGGTTTGGTCAATGAGGACGATGGCGAATTCTGGTAAGATGAGAAAAAATTTCACTGATTCAAGGGAGTTTGTTTGAAACATAAAATGGGAATCTTAAACTTAGCTAGAGAAATTTGACAGATTTGGTAGTTAACTAGAACCCTTGGAAATTGTAGGGGGACTGTAATTACTCAGTGAGGACATTTGCTGTAGTGGAAGATTCTCGTTCTGGTTTAATCTAGTTTCTTTCTTGTCAGTGAAGCAGATCAGAGTCTTTACTCATCCGACATTTGAGCTTCTCTGCCAGTCATGTCCAAAAATTAGAGCCCAATCAGCAGCCCTGCTGAGTTTAGACAAAAACTATACAGATGTATTTTTTTCTTCCAGGATGACCATGGAAGATTTTTGTGCAAATTTTCACAACGTGGCCATTTGTAGAGTTGTTAACACCAGTTATCTGTCCTTGAATAAAACATGGGTGGAAGGACTTCATCATGGGGCGTGGAAAAAACCCAACAGAGCTGGTGGCTGTGCCAATAACAGAGACTCGTTTTTGAATAACCCCATGGTAAGTTTAGATAACAGCAGGTTTAATGTCTAAATAACTTATTAAGACTTCAGATGCCAACTGATAATAGAATCCATGACCACCATTTGTAGTGCCTTATTAATGCAAATGACATCATCTAATGAGATGCACACTATATCTGATTGTGCTACGGAACTCATTTCATTTCGTCCCTTTCAGTATATATTTGAGGTGACAGAGAATCAAGATGACTTCATGATCCAACTGATGCAGAAGTCAACCAGAAACAAAGAGGGCAGCACTAATGCCACCATAGGATTTACCTTATTCAGGGTAGGTAACTCACTTTAAGGTTTTATTGCATGTTGTATTCTCAGTTAGTTTGCCCTGTCAGTGATACAGGTCTCAGGGGTTGACAATTGGAAATAGAAAAATAGTAGGACATTGCCGCTGTCTTTGCAAAATGTCCCTCATTGCACACTGCATGGCATTAGCCCAGTATGGTGCAGAAAAATAGAATCTAAAATATGTTTCTGTAATAGGACATCCATGATCATTCTTTTGTTTGCAGGTTGAACTCAATCGTAAATACAGAATCCATAACCTGGGTTTACACGAGAAAGTCACGTCTACAGTATTCCGCGACTCTAGATCCATGTTTTTACGGCAGACGGTCGAAAAGGGTCGTTATGTCATCATACCCAGTACCTTTGAACCTAACGTTGAGGTTGAATTTTTGATCAGAGTCTACACAGATACACCCAATAAATTCAAGTGAGTATAGTTTATTTCCCTCGAATTTTGGAGAAATGTCTACATTTGTTAATTGTTTATGTGTATCGGGGACACTGATAGCATCAATTTGCACGTTCTATTTTGATTTCAGAGAGCTGGTACACGACCGTCCTCAGAAGAAATGGTACAGCTGCTTAAGCAAGTCACCAAGCTTGGTCACTCATATTAAAGTTGTCCGAGCTCATGGCTTAGAGAAACAAGATCTACAAGGTAAAAAATGGCTTTACATTATAGGCACTCTAGAGGTTTATTAGCCCAATGTGTTATAGACTGTGCACATTAAAGCTCCCTCTACAATTGGCATAAAAAAAAAGTAAGCTGATGCTGCAGTCCTGTCAAAATTTACCTTGTTGCTCACTGCAGGAAGCAAAACACCATTTCAATTCATTTAGCCTAATAAGGTACAGACAAGAAGGGTAAAAGCTCCATAAAGGGCGTAAAATTCCATTTCATTTCATTTTGTTCTTTCAGGTGCTGACCCCTATTGTGTGATATCGTGTGAGGGTAAAATCGTCACGACAACTGCTGCTAAAAATACAACGGATCCACAGTGGAACCAATCTGCTGTCTTCTATAGAAAAAATCCTCTTAAAAAACCTCTTAAAGTTCAGGTAAGTACAAGAGTTATTGCCCTTGTTGAAAAGTAATATTGTATAGATATTTCCTTTCTTCTGAACGAGTTATTGCCCTTGTTGAAGAATAATATTGCCAGGCTATTTCTCAAAGAGTAACTTGAACTAATGTTGCGAGGAAAGAGTTGTTGCCCTTGACACTTTAATGTGTTGAATCGAATCCAGCTTCTGACTTTTGATGGATAAAATCCTTTGAAATCTCAAGATCAAGTAAACTCAGAAAATTGTTGCCGTGGGGAGATATCTCAGTAAGAATAATCTGCAGGTAAGTTCAAGAGTTCTTGCCCTTGAAGAGTTGAAACATAGGTGAACCTGACTACACTTGTTACAGGCTTAAAATTGGATGTTATCGAGAAGTACTTATGTGATAAAGCATATTTTGCGATTAGCGTCGTCATAAAACACTTGGTTTTAATGGAATTGCAGGAACCTCAGACGTATAAGTGCAAATTTGGAATGGTGCAAATTGATGCTATCAGTGTCCTTGATACACATTCAAATTTTAGAAAACCTCTTTACAATCTCTTTGAAGATAAAGCAACACCATTTTGATTTTTTGATTTTACAACGTAGATCTCAATGACTGATTCATGACCATATTATAAGGATGTAAAACTCAATTTATTTTCATTTTAGATCTGGAATGCCAACATGGTTCGAGATACCTACATGGGCAAACATATTTTTACAGCCACGGATGAAATGAATGGCGTACAGAAAGAAGTTACATTAGTTGGAAGAAAGAAGGAGCAGAATGCTCCACGAGAGGGAAAACTTATCGTCCAAATTACACAGAGTCGAACCCTGACAACTGTTTAGATTTTTATCCGTTGTAATATATTACTTTTATAAGTAATTGTAAAAATACTGCTTTTCTTTTAAAAGTAATTGGAATGATAATGATTTTCTTTGAAAAGTAATTGGAATCCTGTTTTTCTTTGATAAGCAATAGGAAAGTTACTGCTTCGGAAAGGTTATGTTTGATTATGAATTTCTTTGATACTTTGTATACCTTGGACTAATTTAGACTATTTCACAAGCAGTCATACTTCTTAAATTACTTTTCTCTTAAAGTAACGGAAGAAAAGCAATTACCTGTCTAAGCAATTACTTTTCTGGACAATTACTTTGAACAGACAGTAATTGTTTAGAATCATTACTTGCTTTTCAAACACATTCATCAATTACTTTTTAAAGGGTCTTCTTACATTTTAAATGACACAACCAATTACTTTCAGCAAGAATTACTTTGCCATTACTTTTAAAAGTACTGGTAATTGCATGAATCACTTTTCTAAGCATTACTTTCAAGGTAATTACTTAGAAAGCGTGATATTTTGTTAATTTTTATCATTTATTATAAATCTTGTCTACTTTGCTCACTATGTACATGTTTTTATATATTCTTCATATACTACTAGTTTGAAACTTGCTGACTCTTCAGTGTCTTATTTTACAGGGGTTGGAATGGTTCCCCTACTTGCAATTTTTTGTTATTTTACATAGTGAAAGAATTGCCTGTGGCCTCCCTGAAGAATTCTGTGGCCTCTGTGGACCTGCGACTCCTATTCAATGACTGTTAAAATATCTATCACAGGCTGGTAAGAGTCACCAAGTTTCGAGCTAGCATGCTCTATACTGCTGCATAATATAACTATATATCTTTTTAATTTATTAGCCTTTCTGCAAGAAGGGCGGACATATTGGCCTTCTTATGAATTTACTTGAAATTCTTTTCCAAAAGTTTTATGTTCTAAGAATTATTGCAAAAATGGGTTTGGATTTTTGAGGATTGAGATTATTTTAACAAACCCTGTGGTAGATTTTTTTTTAGTTTCAAAGTATTACTGATATAGATTTGTTGATTTATTTGTATTTGCCAGTCATGTCTGATTGTATTTCCAAAATGACTGGCTGTGATTTTAATCTTTAGGACATTTTCTTTGCAAATGTTAAAAATTCTGCATCTTTTATGGACCTTTGATAACAATTCTCTATGTAAATTGGTACAAGATGTTAATTTACATGCTAAAATGACTGGTTGAGTATTTTTAAAATCATTAACCCTGATTATCTGATTATCTCCCCTGAAATATGTCTATCATTTTTTTGGACCACCCATATTTTTTATTACAATCGATTTGTGCATTTTTAAAGATTTCTCTTTTTTATTTTTTGTAAATTTTTGTCTATATATTTTCATGAAAAGAGTAAACCACATTTTCATGATCCATTGTAATTATTATTTTCTTCATTTTTTTGATAATTATCTGCTTTTTTAGCGCTTTTTAGCTTTTTTATGTATGCTTTTATATCTTAATTGTTGAAATAATGTTCTTGCCTTTCCCAAAAGGTGATTTTACTGTAAGGCCAAATTCTGAAAATGACTATAGTTTTGGAATTTTGGACAATGTTTTAAAGTTGAATTCTTTTTTGCAAAGAGCTCTTTCCTTGCTGATTTGCAATTGCTCTGTTTGGCAAGCTTTGAGCAAGTTTTAAATTTGTCAAAAATCTGTAATTCTGAAATTTGGAAATCCTGATCTCTGATGCTTGGTGAATTCAGGATTTTAGTAATTTCCAATTCTGTATTTTTTGGTCAAATTCTAAGCCTTACATTGTAATTTTACTGGAAAGCATATAATTTCTTCAAATATGTTGGTAATCTGTCTATGATTTTCAAGGAATTGGCCACGGTCTGATTTGCCAAAATGGAATTTATTTTGGAGGGTAAAACTGAAACTGATAATGTAGTATAGGTAGTGCAATAGATTTTAGTTGTGAAAGGATTCTTAATCTTATGAAAGTTTTAAAGGGATTGTAAAAACTTTGTATATGTTTCAGGGACACTGATAGCATCGATTTACACCATTCTAATTTTCACTCAGACATCTGTGGTACTTGCAATTTCACTAAAACTAAGAACCAACCATTTTTGGATGCCACCATCACAAAAGCTGTATAATTATAACGTTTTTGATGAGGTTTAATAGGGTTTATTTAGTATTTCTATAATTACAGGAACCACAGACATCTGACTAAAAATTTATATGATGCCCCAATACACATAAAAATAATATGTATTAGCAAACTCACCGAAGCCCCTACCCACAGGATTTAAGGCATTAAATATGCCCCTTTTAAAATCTAAACTCTTTTTTTTAAAGTTATCTGTTTCTGCACATAATTCTTTCATAGATTAAGGACCCTATTTTTGTTTGTAGAAATGTAGATAGATATTATTTTTTGTGATTTTTAAGGGTACTGACTGAACAGAAGTTGCTGAACTATATTTTCCATTTTAGAATCTCACTTTTTGTAGAAAATAAAATAATAATCTTACTATTGGGTAAATATGCCCTTATATCAGTGGTTCCCAACCTTTCACACCCCTGCAGCAATCACCTGGACCTTTCACACCATCCACATTTTCAGCATGTGATGATGTGAGGTGCTCTCTCAATTCAATATAAATTCTTCTCCTACACCAGTTGGCCAAACCGACGACACCTAGTCCAATAAATGGTGTAACAATTCACCATCGAAATTTGAGCCTTCATATCTATGCGTTTCAAAAATTATCCGCATTTGAAAGTTAAAATGACGAGTCGTCTTTTCCTGAGACACTGCCATATATAGAAAAGACATCTATGGAAATAAAAACTAAATTTCTAGATAATTATATATATATTTTAAACCATCGATTGGTTAGTTCTGCTTGTTTTTATTCATGGAATCGCACGGACGTTCAGAACAGAATTCAGAACGCGTTCCATAGAAAGTGCCTGATTCAAACAGAATGTATAAATCAAGTACTAACGATCCAAACCGCAAAACGAAACCCGCAATCCAAAACAACATTTTGGTGAAACATTAGTCTACCAAACTATATAACTATCTATCCTACCTAGAGATAAAGTGAACTGTTCTTGTTTAAGTTTGGAATCTTCCTCGAACGTGCATAATTAATATCTTTGTTCCACCATCTTCACAATGTCAAGCTATTACGAACTGCGCCTTATACCTTGACTGCAATAGCCACAAGTACTATCTACACTACCTAAAAGTAAAGTGAAATGCCCGTGCTTCTATTTGGAATCGTCCCCTGCATGTGCATACAGATCTATCTAAAGATGAATAGACGAGCTGAGGATTATCGATACAGTAAAAATAGTAACGCATCGTGACCGGGCTAATATTCACATCTTCTATTTTTAACTTTATTAATAGTCCCGCATCGCACCTGACATCGTATCTCATCTACTCGCGGTTTACGAGTCCCGACATCCGTAAACGACACCGGCTATGAAGAACATGCTAAAGATTGCGATTGCCATTCCGACCCCGATTCCTTCTCCGAATGAAAAATTCGGAACGGCTTCGCAACCCGGAACAACGTTCGGTAAGATGGGTACGATCGCTTCGGGAAGGGTCACGATAAAGTTAAATCTGTATGATGCCATCAAACCGGAAGTGGTTTCATTAACACGTATGGTGTAGTTTCCAGAATCGGCTTTTATAGGGTTAAAGATTCGGAGACTCATGCATGGGATATCGAGGTTACATGAATCGAACGCATCTTGCTTTGTTCGATAATTGGTGATGGGCCATTCCACCCCTTCTTCGTCTTCCCGGTACCAAGTAAATTGCGGAACAGGCTTCCCGGTGTACACAAGGCTCATCAAAGCGGATTTGTCACCTTCTTTCGCCTTGAGATCAAAGTTCGTCTCATTTTTTTTTATTTCCAATTTGCCTGAAAAAGAGAATATTTATGTTTTTATAGGATATATCATGTCCCTTGCTTCGGATAAAAATCCTCATTGCATCTCTACAGTTGAATAAGGTACAGAATAGTAGGACGTAAAACTCACTGGTCCAATAAGATACAGAACAGTAGGTTAAACTACATTTCATTTCATTAGTCCAATAAGATACAGAACAGTAGGATATAAAACTCCATTTCATTTCATTAGTCCAATAAGATACAGAACAGTAAAAGTTGAAATCTTAGTACTTAGTTGTACTTACAATTTGTAATTATTGTGACGGAACTGCAGTTGTAACCGTAACTATTGTACACGCAACAGGTGGCGGTAATGTCTGTACACGGAACCGGAATCGTAGCATTGTAAGTCATATACTTCGGTTTAGATTTAAAAACCAAATGCTTTGCAGGAATAACTATCGAAAACGAATTAAGTGCTACTTCACTTCCTGCTGAGCATGTAAGCGTAACGTTTCCGCTTCCGCTTGCGTTATAATTCGATAGTGAAAAATCGGAGATCTCTGGCGAATCTGAAATTGAAAGGATCTGATTAGATCTAATAACTCCTTGGTCTAATTAAAATTAGACCAAACTTTTCTTAAGCACAAAAGATGCATTCAGTCCGATGCTTCTCTGAATACATTTTGTTCGCGAAACAAAACCCCAGCGATGGAGAGGGCGGGAATTTCATTGGCTGGTGATGTCATTAACTGACGAATCGGACTGTAAGCCCCTTGGAGATTTCGGTGTCGTGGGTTCGAATCCACTTCAAGTCTACCAATCTTCTTCGAAAGCCCAATCAAATTAAGGGCTTAAACTCTAATTCATTTTCATAAAGAAAAACTAGCTGGAGAGTAAGGGAAACGCAAGCGTAATCGTACTTACATCCGGCGTCAATCACAAACGGTGTAGACGTATTATCACCACTAACGCAGGTCCAATTGCCACCTATCCTCTCTTCCACAGCAAAGAAACGTATAGTTACTACGTTCTTGTAGGTGTCGACGTTTCCGGAGAAGTTCTCCGCTTCCGTACACGCCCCAGCAGCGTACGGAAAATCGCAAGAAAACTTTTCTTCTCCGTTGTAATTCCAGGCTACTGTTTCGTTCAAGAAACTCAATGCACATGTCAGCGTTACCTCCGTGTTACTTGCGTTTCTTTTATTTAACCGTAGACCACCAATGACCTTTGGAACTGCAATAAGAAGATATTTAAATGCTAGTAATATACTTTGAAAGATGCAATCCCTTTCGGTGTATTCGAAGATGGACTTTGCCAAATTCGATCTAGATGCAAATCCGTATGTTTCTTTTTGCGTTTTGATTTTGGGTGACTCTACTTGACATTCATGTTCTAACGAAATTCGTATGCATCTGTTGTTCTGGATCATATAATATTCAACCAATCCAATACTCTTTCCACATAGCCTATATGTGAGAGGATTCATCGCTAAACACTGACTGTATTGTTAAAAGGGGCAGATTCGCCACCCGTTTGACCAATCGTACCTTGGCAACGACAAAACTTTCGATTTCCCTACTTGCTTACTCAGTACGGTTGGTTCCAGCCAAGACCATCGAGTTTGCCCTTTTTCACCATTTTCCGTGAGAAATATAGCTAAAGGTTAATCTAATTAGGCCATGAGAAGTCAAATATGGACATTGCTTTCTACTTTCGGTTTCCTTTTACTTACTTTGTGTATTAGCGTTGGTACAAACTAGAAGAACCGCGACCAAAATAGTTCCTAACTTCATCTGGATTGTCATCTAAAAAGTAGAAACGACAAACTGTTCAAATTAGTAAAATAGACACATGGACGATCTGATATGGCGGAAAACTCCATTTCATTTCTAACGTCTAAGTTTACTGTTCTGTATCGTATTGGACTAATGAAATGAAATGGAGTTTTATATCCTTCTGTTCTGTATCTTATTGGACTAATAAAATGAAATGGAGTTTAACATCCTTCTGTTCTGTACCTTATTGGACTAATGAAATGAAATAGAGTTTTATATCCTACTGTTCTGTATCTTATTGGACTAATAAAATGAAATGGAGTTTAACATCCTTCTGTTCTGTACCTTATTGGACTAATGAAATGAAATAGAGTTTTATATCCTACTGTTCTGTATCTTATTGGACTAATGAAATGAAATAGAGTTTTATATCCTACTGTTCTGTATCTTATTGGACTAATGAAATGAAATAGAGTTTTATATCCTACTGTTCTGTATCTTATTGGACTAATGAAATGAAATAGAGTTTTATATCCTACTGTTCTGTATCTTATTGGACTAATGAAATGAAATGGAGTTTTATATCCTACTGTTCTGTACCTTATTGGTCTAATAAAATGAAATAGAGTTTTATATCCTACTGTTCTGTACCTTATTGGTCTAATAAAATGAAATAGAGTTTTATATCCTACTGTTCTGTATCTTATTGGACTAATGAAATGAAATAGAGTTTTATATCCTACTGTTCTGTATCTTATTGTCCTGTTCAGCTAATGAAATGATAAAGAGTTTTAGTGGAGTGAAGAAAACTACAAATGGATCATAAAAGATGAAAACACATTAAGAAATGAAACGTGATATAATATTTTACGTACCGTTGATTTTTCGCTTAAAATTTTGCAAGTTATTAGGCGTGAGTCTTCTCAAATCTGATAATATCTCTAGCGATATGCATAGTTTATAAATAGTGCAAGCCTGCATTGAAAGATATATCCTTTGTCATACCTCAAATATGTGTTGATACCTTAAAGGAGTTACTTCATGGAATTTTCGAATACTTGACTCGAGCCCATCTCATGCTGTTGACGCGTTTCTGATACCCAATCCTCGCCGGGGAAGATTTGAAAATGAAATAAATGGAGTTAAACACATTACTTTTTAACTTTTTCAAAATTGTTTTGCATAGCATTATCTGCATCTTTTGCAATAGTGACGTCATAAAACACTTGGTTTTGATAGAATTTCAAGAACCACAGACATCTGACTGAAAATTGGAATGGTGCAAATTGATGCTAAAGGTATCCCCGATACACACCAAATGTGTCGAAAAACCTCGCTTCAATACCTTTAAAGTAATGTGCAATTCGGGAAGGTTTTCAAACCGGTTTTGAACGTACCATTGAATATGTTAATTGTCAATATCCTATTGCGACATAAGCTTGTAAAGGAAATATACTTTGTGTGTTTTGAAAGCTTTGTATTACTGTATGTATTCGGTTGGATAATAATGTATTATGCACATTTACTCAGCCAATGAGGTAGTGTTGGCTTTGTGTAAAAGTATTGGAGTGGAAAATCTTTATGATTCAGAAATTTTTCTTTTACCGCGATGAAGAAATGACATTAATTTTAAATTTGCGTTGACTGATGAAATGGAGTTTTGCGTACCTAAATTTTTTGTATCTAACTATGCCAATGAAATGGTTATTCAAATATGCATCTATTGCTACAGTCCTTAGTCCCACCCCTACCCCGTCCCCTCGGGCCAAATTTTTTTTTTTATTCTATTTTCATTTCCAAAATCGCGTTAGATATAGTCAAAATTAGTCTTTGTTCATCAAGGGACCCAGCTGGTGTCATAACTTTGAATTTTGAAACATGCTTTGAAGCGTTTTTCAATAATTACTTGGATATATCGTCTAGTATAAAGATTCTATTCTTTAATCATGGCGCCTGGTAAGTCCAACTGATGAATATATACACTTATTGATCAAATTTGAGACTTGAAATTTTATGTTTATCTTAAGAGGTAGTGTTCCTTTAAAAACGTCTATAAGACCCACACCCTTTAATTTTATCCTCTGGTGATTTTATTTGTTGCACATATTTTAGCCAAAATTTGATATTATAATTTAGTCATTGAAAACGATTGGGTAAGTAGAGCTCTATTTTATTTACATGAAATGGCGTGGTATAGGGGTAAAAATGTTCTGCATCCCAAAATTGTACTTCCACTTTATTGTTAACAAATTTGAAAATATGATTTTTCTTTCTACTTTTAGCCCCAAAATATTTGTCAGAACAGAGTGCACCGAATCAATTCAATTTCCAAAATTTTCTCGAGAGAATCCTCGGAAACGTTTCATGAGAGGCATGCAACAAGACGTGACGGCATTTTGAAATCAGCTTCGACAGTTGTCCCCCCATAGAGTCAGTCTCGAGAGACTGGTGTCGCTGCTGTTTACATGTAGTGTCTTATATTTTTTATAAATGAATTTGACTGTAAAGCACATTTCTAAGCCTTAAATTGAAGGCGTGGTTGAAATGTTATACAGCCTTTTTAAAAGTTCATCTTATTAAGTCGAAATAGAGGCTATAATTTTTGCCCCCTCCCCCTTTCAAAATCAAAAGGGATAGTGCCTGGGGCTCCGGGTCGCTCAGAATCCTCGTGTGCTACAGGCTGTTCATGTTAAAAATCCGCCGACAGTTGGAAATCGAAAAAGAGGGGGCGGTGATGCCACTGTCCTGGACAATTTTCCCTCATTGCACACTAGGGCGTTAGCCGTCTTCATTAGCCCATTAGGTTCAGAAAATGCAGGTGATCAAAAAGTAGTTCCACAACTTATTTTTTAATTTCTTTTTTAGAAACGAGATCAACCAACATGAAGTCAATTGTTGTGGTGATATGCCTAGGCCTACTTCTCGTCAACCTCGCCAGATCTGCCAGCCATGACTGTGAGTACAAAAATATATCCCATATAGGCCTACTACAAATATTCAGGGTATAGGAAAAGATATTCCGACTGACTCGATTCAGAAGTTCTAACGTCTACAATCCGCATTCCACGATCTAAAAAAGTCTAAATTATGTTCTAGAAAGATAAAACATGAATTAGATTCTACGTAGAAATACTTAGTCAAATATTAGTCATTTCTACCCTAGGAATAACCAAAAAGGTTTTAAGATTTTGAACCAAATTCAGCGTAAGATTACGAAAGCTGGATTAATTGACTGTGTTGATATCGCCATTTCAATTCTATTCCAGTTCCGAACATTACTGGTAAAGATCCGTTGGATATAACAAGGCCCCTCAAAGCTGAACTGACATGCCACGTTGCAAAGCTGAACGAATCCATCGCATGGATATACAACGACACAACATTTTTCTCCTGCGACTTTCCTTACAGCGTCGGAACGTGTGTCAATATATTCGGACACCCCTATGATTTTACCATCAACCAAAGAAAAAATACGTTTGTGGCGAAATATACAATCAAAGAAAATGTTAATGATGGAAATTGGACATGTCGCCATGGAAACGATACGTCACATCCTTACATGTACGATACCGGAAGTAAGTAGATCATTTGACAACCTTGTGACACAATATGGCAGACAGGATTCGCTCCACTTTGCAATTGTTTCCATGTTCCATGTTGAACATTGCTCGTTGTAAATTGAAAAGGAGTAGGCAAATGCCTCTGCCCTCGAAAAGTTTCCCTCATTGCCCATTGAATAAGTTGTCTGTCCTATCAGGAGCATGGAAATAGGACGTTTAACTCCATTTCATTTAAATTTCTTTTCAGAATCTCCAGAAAAGCCAACGATAACAATTTCCAATATGAAACCATCGGAAGGCGAAAACATTACTATAACTTGTACAATGCCGGAGAGCGATACTGAATTAACTAAGTATGATATGCAAATGTCCGACGGTTCCAACAAAGTTGACCTAATCAACATTAAAGATCCGACCAACCTTACGTATACTTATACCTTAACGACTGGCTGTAGGACCATATCGTACTCTTGTTCCGTGTACAACCGTTTTGGTTTCAACTATGCAGATAGAAAGATTACTGCAGACTGTAAGTATCTAAACAAGGGCACGTTCGCCATCGCCATCACTGCAGTCGTACCTTAGTCTCAAAAAATTCTTTAGCTATACTAATAAGTAATAGGCTACTGTTCACAGCTAACCGTCGAAATTTAAGCCTTCAATCTCACGTGTGTTCGCGTTTGAAAGTTGATATGACGACTCGTAGTTTCTAGGTTTTCTAGCTTTTCTTTTATGTGTATTTTTTAATTTATAGTTTAATAAGATACAGAACAGTAGGATATAAAACTACATTTCATTTCATTAGTCCAATAAGGTACAGAACAGTAGGATATAAAACTACATTTCATTTCATTAGTCCAATAAGATACAGAACAGTAGGATATAAAACTACATTTCATTTCATTAGTCCAATAAGATACAGAACAGTAGGATATAAAACTATATTTCATTTCATTAGTCCAATAAGATACAGAACAGTAGGATATAAAACTATATTTCATTTCATTAGTCCAATAAGATACAGAACAGTAGAATATAAAACTACATTTCATTTCATTAGTCCAATGAGATACAGAACAGTAGGATATAAAACTACATTTCATTTCATTAGTCCAATAAGATACAGAACAGTAGGATATAAAACTATATTTCATTTCATTAGTCCAATAAGAAGAGAACAGTAGGATATAAAACTCCATTTCATTTCATTAGTCCAATAAGATACAGAACAGTAGGATATAAAACTCCATTTTATTTCATTAGTCCAATAAGATACAGAATAGTATGATATAAAACTATATTTCATTTCATTAGTCCAATAAGAAGAGAACAGTAGGATATAAAACTCCATTTCATTTCATTAGTCCAATAAGATACAGAACAGTAGGATATAAAACTCGATTTCATTTCATTAGTCCAATAAGATACAGAACAGTAGAATATAAAACTCCATTTAATTTCATTAGTCTAATAAGAAACAGAACAGTAGGATATAAAACTACATTTCATTTCATTAGTCCAATAACATACAGAACTCCATTTCATTTCATTAGTCCAATAAGATACAGAACAGTAGGTTATATAACTCCATTTCATTTCATTAGTCTAATAAGAAACAGAACAGTAGGATATAAAACTCCATTTCATTTCATTAGTCTAATAAGAAACAGAACAGTAGGATATAAAACTCCATTTCATTTCATTAGTCCAATAAGAAACAGAACAGTAGGATATAAAACTCCATTTAATTTCATTAGTCTAATAAGAAACAGAACAGTAGGATATAAAACTACATTTCATTTCATTAGTCCAATAAGATACAGAACAGTAGGATATAAAACTACATTTCATGTCATTTTCAGGTCTAATAGAGTTTCGGGAAGATTTGACGCCAACTAATGTAACAGCTTATGAAGAGAACAGAAGTGTAGAGTTGACATTCTATTATACAGGAAGGCCATTCCCGCCTAAATACCAATGGTACAGGTTAGAAAATGGCACCGAGAAGAACCTCACCGATTACAGAAACTCGCCTACAGCTGGTACCCAATGTAATCCAAATGGTACTGCCTGTATACTCTTGCAAATCTACAACCCGACTGTAGTCGATTCCGGATATTTCATCGTTTACGTAAACGAAACTAAAACTGGATTAATTAAGTCGCATACGTTTTATTTAAACGTCCTGCCGGCCAAATCTGAAGTTGAAGAATCCTCCACTACAGCCAATCAGATGCCGTGTAGCGCTCCGTCATCGGACGAGCTTACGTTCGGTCAAGGTATCGGCGTAGGAATTGGAATAGGCTTAGTTGCTGTCATTTTCATTGCTGGGGGCATCTATGGTTGTCGCAAGGCATAATGTCTTTTCCACCTTCACAATGTCAATATAATATATTGTGTGTAACATTGTGTGCACTCGTGTAGACCTATTCGGCGTTTAACATCTTAACCATTTAAAATTGATTTTGAAACAGTCAGAGTTCTTTTTAGATAGATTGTCTCCCTTTATATAGTTTTATTTCTTAAAGTATAAATTCCTATTAAAATGTTTGAAGTTGTTCAATAATTATGCCCAATCAAAGCGTGGTCTGCAAAAAAAAATGGGCCATACACGATAACACAAAACACATTTGTTTTCATACCAACTGTCTTTGTGGGCGTATTTTATTCTAAAGGGCGGGTACGAGGGAGAAGGGGGTGGAGCTACACGTCACTGAACAACGGCGTTAAACCATCCCAACCGTCTACTTCCTCATATTCATCCGTCACATGATCATCTACGTCTAGGTCAAGGTCACTAAAGCTGGGTATTTCTGGATGTAACTCAATAGGCGCATGCGTATTAACACCACTCAGACTTCCAGCTGCACCGAACAGTTGATATCCTGTGTAACTATCAGCCACTGGATATTCGAAACGATTTTGGAAATTTCCAGGTTGATGGAATCTTGTGTGCAAACTGGCACGTTTGGTTTTCTTGGGTGGAGTCTTTGGACCCCTCGGGCTTTTAAGTGTCGAGTTTTTGTGGGTTTCATATTCGTTGCGGAGGTACTTCCGGAAAGTCAACACCTCCAGATTTTGTAGAGTTGTCTGCCTTGATTTGAGTGTAGCGAGTAAAGATTTGGCGTCTGCCTTGGTTTTAATGTTTTGATATTTCTTAAACAGTTGTAGTTCTTTTCTCTTGATGTCTGTTTCTAGTTCATATTTTTCTGGAATTGAATGAACATTTTTAGTCTAAGATCTTTGAAAAGTCAGAATTAAGCGTATTTTAGCTTTGTGAACTCTCTGAAAGGGGAGATAGGTTGACAATTCTAAAATAAGCTATAGTGATGCCAAATTTAGGCTATGTGAACTCTCTAAAAGGGGTCAAGAAATACGATCAAAGCAACAAGGCGCTCTGAAATTTTGACCGAATACGTTAGAAACTTCGATTTCAATCCCGCTCCTCACTAGAGAATTCGGGCTAGCTACAGGTTTGCTAGGAACAAAATTTCCTTACCTTCAATTGAAAGTTCTTTGATTTCGTCTCTTTTGCATTCTACTTCCGCTTCCAAAGCATTTTTCTTCAGGTCTATCTGACGTAACATTCGACGAAGTTCGTTCAATTCTTTGTCCATTTGAATGACGTGTTTTTGTAGCTTGACCATCTTCTTTTCTTGCTTTCTGAGGGAGAAAGGGGTTCTAGATAACAAAAAGAAAGAAAGAAGCATCCATTTTTTTAAAGAATAGCCTCTAGAAAAAAAAAGGATGACTTCTTAACCTTGGCCAACTGCACCAAATCTAGTTTTTATCGGCTGGTAGATAGGAAAGTCAGAGCTTTCTACCAACGGGTCCTTAGGCATTTTGCATAAGAAACAGGCCTGTAGCCGAATGACGAATTAAATTTATGACAATTTCATCAACGACCGTTAAAAGGTGGCCCAAAACAAAACAAAAAAGATTTGGGAAACCTACCAACAGTCCAGAAGGGCTGCAAATAGACTTCGACCCGCTACCATCGAGAACAGAAGACGTTGAATAATTAGACTACCTACACATATTTCTTGAATTTAGTGTTCAAATCCTCCTTTTTCAGGCCAATTTTCTTCTCGAGTCGGAACACGTCAATCAAATCAGCGTCGACAATATCAAACTGTGAATCGTCTACAACCACGTCTGGTTTCGGATCGCCTGAAAGGTTGGCCGTAGCCGAGGACGCTTTCTTTATTGCAGGTTTCGAACCAAACATTCTTCGAACGAACGACATAGTTCGCGAAACCCAAGAAATTGCGGTTTGAAATTGCCAAATGGTTGACGTCATTTTTGTTTGACGTCATCATTTTTTGTGCACAAGAGTTTGATATCATGGCGTATGGCGTTTTTTCTTTTGAAAATGACATTCATTGAATAGAAAAATCGCTGTTAAAATAAAGAAACAAACAATGACGCACAACAAACAAAGTAACCAAGCACATCTTCAACAACAAGCAACAAAATGAACAAGACACCCCCCCCACCCAGCCCCCTCTCCACAAAGACAAAACAACCCCCAGGACCCCTAAAAAATAAAAAATAAAAACAACAGCGTAAAAACAACAACAACAAAACTGCAACAACATATTCCAAAAACAAACAAAACATCGATAAATAAGTAAATAAATAAATAAATAAACGGTCAAACGTGACGCTTTTACACGAAGCCAATCCCTTTTAATGATTGAACAGAAAATTCTGAGAGTCAAAATGGCAAGAAAATGGAGCCGTATAGAAAAATACACAATATGGCCATTACGGCAATGAAATAATCACATTTTCTTGAATCGATCCTAGATAAGATGAAATTCTTTTCTTTTATTTTACATTTCACTGGCGTCCATTGTGTTCAAGACATTTTCAGAATTTCTCCCATCGACTTTCAAAGACTGGTTCTATTGTTTGCCAATCCGGTTCCATTGTGCACGTGGAACGAGCTTTCGAGCTCTGATTGACAGGCTATTGTGTAGTTATAACAGAATTCCATTCAATAGCAAAAAGATGAGGATAATTTCATCCTTAGAAAATGAAAGTAGAGAATCCCTCGGCAGCACTTAATACCTAATTTCACGCAGAAATATCTTTTAATTCGTGTACAATATAGAAAAAATTACGATTTTCTTCGTTAATCGAGAGAAATTAGGTCTTCATTTTGTTAAATTTAGAAGAAATTTTCGTGCGGGCTACATGTGTAAGTGCGATATCCCTGGCCAGTACCCTTGGAAGAAGTCAAAAATACCCTTCTTTAGAGAGTCCACAGATATATAATTGGTTATGAAGAATATCATCACTGTACCATGTAGCCTATCATTTCTTATCAAGCGATATTGACGTCTCGTGGATTCAAAAGAATTTTCTGAAACGGAAGATTAAAAGAATTGAGTATGAGATGAAAAAAGCTTTTTATTTTAACAAATATTTGAACAATATTATGCTCATCTTCCAAATAAAGTCCGAAATTACCAACAGTTATGTCCCCTTGTTTCAGATGCCTCGAATTTCTTTGTTTTCATACCAATGCCGCCAATCTTTTAAATAAAGTAAATAATGACCTTGCTATGACGTCATTTCCGTAGATATTTTTCTTTACATTTGCAAGAATATTGCCTTAGAAATGGAAGAATGGTTTTCAAATCCAGGAAAAACGTGACAAAATCGTAGCAGCGTCCATCTTGAATTCTACAGATTTCGGAGTCAAGCAGAGGGTACGGATTACCGAGTAGGCTATCAAAATGAATATTCAAAAAATGATCGAGTGTTTCGGATTAACGTATATTCAAGAAAAATATTCCACAAGGAGCAAACAGAAGAGATGATGGGATACTTCGTTTCGGATTTGTGAATCGACAAACTTTAGAAAGAAAAGAGAAGAAATTTCAAAGAATGGTCTCATTTTCGTCTTTTACGATCACTTCTTTTGAAACTGCACGTTTTCGCTTTTGATGTCGATGAAATATCGCATTTTCATCCGATTGCCTTTGAATAGCGTGGAACTCACGTGAATACATTCTTTTAGACATCAATCGAGTCTTTATTGACTTAAAAAGCGATTTGAGATTTATTTGGTCAAGGAAATCGTTTGGAGAAAAGAAGAAGGGGAAATCAGAAACTTTCAGGCCGTTTTTGTAAAAGTGTTGGAACCACGATGTTCCACCAAGTTAAGGGGATTGTTAAGAGTTTTTCTAAACTTTGTATATGTGTAAGGGACACTGAATGCATCAATTTGCACCATTCGTTTTTTTCAATCAGATGTCAGAGCTTTTTGCATTTCAAAAATTGGGTGTTTCTTTTAAAAAAAAATCGAAGCACGAGGGTGAAATTGGGGGACATGATATTACTAAAATACTTTTTAAAATGTTCAAAAATGGAAAATAAGAGGAACTTTCAGAGCTTCTGTAAGTATAGGGTCAGCCGAACATCTCCACCCCGTAGATTATGGTCTCGTTTCCCTAGCCCAGTATGACTTTTGTTAAATGAAAATTAATTTCTGCTTTCTTCCAAAGAGCTGTGTCGGTAATGTCAGGAAAACCTTCCAGGAACCGAGGTCTTTTAGTCTTGAATAGCACCAAGTTCAATAGAACGAAAATTGAATGGCGGCAATTCTTTAGTAGAATAATTCTTTAGAATTTCATCCTTTTCCTCGTCTTTAAATTACAACAAATTTATTCTTCTTTCTTATTCTTGAAAGGCCGTGATTAATAGCCGCCATCTTGGTTGTTAGGAAGTAAATGGAACAAGAGATTTTCATTGGTCCATTCAAATCTTATAGACATAGGGAAATCCTTTAGAGATGAAATCAAATCGTTCTTTAGAAACGAGGCAGAAATTCTTTTGAAATGTTGGACAGTTGTGAACAATGGCTGCTTCTTTCTTCATAATGGCGGCATTCAAACAGACGACAGTGCTGAATAATGGCGGGAATTTATCAGGAGTCGTTTCTTTCCATTTCTGTATTTTTAATAAATTCTAGTTGGTTGCAGGAACTCAAACAAAATCGACCCGATTCCATTATAATTATCGCTATTCAATTCATTTTGATTTCCATATAGTAAAATCGAGAATTCTATGGTCTTCTTCAATAGCATTCTTGGTAGGATTATAGAGGATAAAAAGAGGAGTGATAACCTTTATAATAGCTTGTCCTGATGAAATTCCCCTCATTACATACTTCACGGACCACCGGACATTGGTTGATTGGAGAGGGGCGGGGGAGTTAAAACACCAGCCCGGTTTCCTACACTTTCTTCATAAGAAGTGTTCTGACAATTGTAATGCCGTTGACCTGGTGAAATTTCCCTCATTACAAACTTCACGGACCACTGGGACTAGGGACTAGGGCAGGGACCAATACCACACCCCACACACCTATAGGTCACTCATTACCCTCGGTCAATATATTACATAAAGACTAGCCTGGGTCCAATTAGTTTATTAATTCTATTTACTTTCCACTGATTAACAGTCGTTTTGTTCCCGCCCCCAGTTTCAATCCCGGCACGAAACAAAATACAAAAGACCACATAATTCAAAAACAATAGCCTGAGATCTGAAAAACAAAAGGACACGTTTTGGCATCTTCGCTAAAAGACTTGGTTTTGATGTGGCACTGTGCGCCAGATTTTAGTTGGTATATGGTTTGTAGCATCATCTTGTATGAGGGTTTTTCGTTCACCAGTTCTTTCAGAGAGTCCACATAGCTAATATTGAATACCAGAGAGTTTGTTTGCTCTTTCGGTAACCTTTTAGTGAGTCCACATAGCCTATAATGTCCACATGGTATAATATGATAATGTTTATATGGTATTTTGGCTGTCGTATCAGTAACTTTTTCAGAGAGTTCACATAGCTAACAACGTATTTTTTTTGTCGTTCTAGAGAGTCCACAAAGCTAATAATGTTTTATTGATATTATGGTTTGTCAAAATCTTTCAAAGAGTCGACATAGCTTGTATAATTTATTTGGTATTGCCTATTTGACATTCGTTTGAGAGAGTCCACATAGCTAATATTGTATATTTGATATTGCCTAGTTGACATACGTTTCAGAGTGTCCACATAGCTAATAACGTTTATTTTTATTTCCTATTTCTGAATTCCACCTGCTGTCAAGAACACTGGCATGTCGAAGATGTTTACCTATTAATGACAATACCAGGATACGATGGAATTGTTGCAGGAATAAAAGACACTATTGTCGGCATTGTTTATGAACCATTGTTGCTTTTGACGCAGAGAAGAAAAGCTCAGTAGTCGGGCTATTGTGTCAAATAATTGGAAAAACAAACCAACTCATTTCCGATTATTTATTTATCTTTATGAGTGTTTTGATGGTGGGGTCAATTCCTTGAGAGGGTGGGGGTGAGAGAAATAGTCCTATTGTTTCAGATTTACAATCATCATCAGGACAAAGATTGTGCCTAAGAGTACGTTGTAAAAAGAGTAACCAAATGCTGATGCATTGGCTTGGTTTTCCTCATCGCACTCTGCGTGGCCTTGGCCGTCTTCTTAGCACATATTGGAACAGAAGGAAAGGACGCTGGACGTAAAACTTCATATCGGTTCATTCCACGACACACATAACGGCATAATCCATTGCAAACCATGAACCATTCTGTTGCTTTTTGCTATTGATGCATTGAATACATTGGCGTAAAGATTCCGCCCAAACCCCTCTGTCGCCCCTCCCCCCGCACACACATATACAGGCGAACTCTCATAGAGAAAGGTCGTCATAAATTTGCCTCGCCGGATTACTGGCATAATCCATAGAAAAGCGTCGTGTTGCATTTTGTATGTTGAACAATAGCCACATTGAATACAGTAGCAATAAATCTAGGTGTATAACAATGGCGGTAGAAATACGAGTTTGAAAACAATAGTAAATATATTGTCATTAGATCTAGGCCGGTTAATGCTTTGATACGGCCAGAGGTTGTGGACCTGGCCTGTAGCCAGACATGGGTGATTTTTTGGAAGGGGGTGGGGGGGCAAGTAATGTATCCGGAAGGGCAATTGTGTATGTTTGTTTAATTTATGAAATGCAAGTAGTTGGATGTCATTATTTCTTCTACAAAGGGGGGGTGGGGCAATCTTTTTTTGCCTCCTTGCCCTTCTGTAGCTTCGGGCCAGTGGGGTATGGTTTGGAATTTTTTTATATCCTACTCATAGTCAAAATAGTGCCGTGGGTTCGACTTTCCATTGAGACATGAAGGCTACAACATACCTCATTGCATTGACCTTCATGACCTTTGAATCTTCTGCTAGATGTTTTAGTGACAAAGAGTAAAA